GTGTTCCTGGAATGGCTGTGAGCACGGGCCGCAGACCGCGTCTGGCCTGTAGCGCTTGCGCTCCTCAATGATGGTCCGCAGCTGTTTCCGCACTGCCTCTATCTCAGGGCGACGAATGTTCGCCGCGAGCTGATAGCCACCCCGTATGGACCTGCCTTGGGCGTCCCTGTAGGCTGGGTTGCCCTTTCCAAAAGCAGAGTGCTCACCCGTTTGACGCCTAGGGTCGTTGTAGGCGAGCAACTGACCCCCTCGTCGAGAGGCATGCTCTGATGGGGCTGCTTGTCTCCATTCGCGTGGGAGCCGTGTTTGAGGGTGAAGGGCATTCCTAGGGCGTGGACGCGAGCGAGACCTCCTGGCATGTTCATCAGATGGTGCCGCCGACGTAGCCTGAGCAGGAGCCGGCGGGGGTTCCTGCGGGGCCGCAGGCGGCGCATCTTGAGCAGGCAGGTCCCCCTGCCGACTGGAGTCTGGCACAATTTGCTCTTGTGCGAGTGGTAGTGCGTCAGGACTGTCTGGGTCTTAGTCTACCTCCTCGTCTTTACCATTGTCTTCCATCATGAGGATGGTGGTCTCATCCTCGCACATTCCACATCCATCATCTTCTTCAACTTCTGACGTAGGGTTGCCAATGACAACGGTCATTGGCCCAGCCGGGCCTGGCAGGTTTCCCTGCTGTGCAGGCGTCTGAGCATCGCTTGGCTGCCCCGGAGTCGGCGGTGCGGTATTCGGCTCAGACTCGTTGCCGAGCATAGCGTGCGCCCCGAGATGATCATAGTCAACTGAAGGCTGCCCGATAACATTTCGCATGGCCGTGTGGTTGGGCTGTAGTCCCGCGGGCTGGAGACCCATCCCGGCGGAGGGAGAGCCAGTCCACGCATGGAGATGGCCCTTTCAAGGGCTTGGCGCCATCTCCCTCTAGAATACCACACGTGTCGCTGCGCGTCCTCAGGGTGCATGCTGTCGATGAGAGTAAGGGCCGCTAACAATAACTCCGAATCGTCACAGGTATCGGTGTCTTGTGGCATCATGTGGCCACTCTCGACACTCTCTTGACTCTCGGGATATGCTACGACCAGTACAGCGTGCATCTGCATGAGAGTCTGCAGTATCGTGTGCGGTCCGTACTCGCCTGGCGCGAGCATGCCAGGTGGTACGCGTGGGTTTCCTGGCACGCCCACGGTGAATGCTTGAGCCTCTAATTCCATCAGATCACCAAAATTTGGAGGATATACTGGAGTGGGCCTGTTTCCAGGCGCGAGGTCGGGTTGACGTCGAAGGTTGTGGTCAACCTCCGAAGGCGAGGCCTCAACAGTGACCTCCTCGTCGCTGCTCTCGTAGGCCATGATGTTGCCTGGGTTGCCGAACATCCAGTCGAAGAAAGATAGGGGCTGGTTTCCCAGCGTTCCGTTCTCCACAGGCGTAAGCTCGATTTTTCCGAGAACAAACCTGCGGATGTACTCGAGGTAGCACGCGTACAGCCCATGGCCATGCGCCTCGAGCTCATCCCAAGTGTCCACACTGCTAGCCCAAGTGAAAAATATCTGTTCCACAGCCTCGAAATCTTGGAAGCTCAGATATTCAATGGACGGTTCACTTGAGCCTAAATGGACTTCGGTCGATCTACCCTTTCCAGTTCCCTTCGCTGGACAATCCTTTACAAGATGATCGGTGCTACCACACTCATGGCACATTAGGATCTGGCCGTCTCAACCTCGCGGGTTTCCTCGCCTACCTTTACCTTTGCCTGAGGTCTCCCTACGGCCTTTTCCACGGCCTTTTCCCCCGAGAAAAATCTCATCGTACTGATCATCTGGAAGCCTCTGGAGGAAAGCCGAGGTGCCTCGTCCGTTCAACCTTCGGCGACCCCGTTTGCCTTTACCTTTTTCCTTTGGAGCTCCTCCGTATCCTCTCCCTAACACGACGCACTGTCTTTCGTGTAAACCTCCTCCACCTACGCTTTGCTTGTTGTAATAACCAGAAAAGGTGTTCGGCACGCTGATTATCTCCTTCCAGTTGCATGATATCTGACCAAACTAGGGGTTCAATACCATCAGATGATATGGTATCGGTGTCGGTGCCGGAGTCGAAACCGTCGTTACCTAGGTAGGTGGATACGCCGTCGTCAAGGGGATTCGCTGCACCCCATAGGGAACGGCGTGGTTGAGGTTCTCTAGGAGGAGGGCTGGTTGCCCAGCTTGGTTGTGATCGATCCCCTGTTAGTAGGGCAGTAGATTCTCCAGGATCGTCGGCCCATATGTTTGAGGGCCCGTTGCCAGGCTGAGTTTCAGTGGTTAAGGTAGCATAGAAATGTCCACTGCCAGTTCCCATTCCCCATCCAAACGCTCATCCTATGTTGCCAGGAGACCGTTCTGACAAATGGCCTATCGAACGCATCCTCTCACACAATTCGTCATGATGCTGTAGTGTTCGGGGCATTTGATGGTTGAGTGGCTGTAAGAGTTGCATGGCTCGCTGGTTGCCAACGCCTAGGGCGCGGAACAGGATAGTAGTGAGCAGTTGGAAGTTGGGAAGGCCAAAACCCACCGACTGCGCCTCAAGACGGGCTATCTCTAACCGAGTAAGGGTTACGTCGATTCGTTCTCCGCGAGGCGCATGAAAGTCGATGAGCTGAGTGCCTGAAGCGAGCTGGCGCTCATCTTCCAGGCGTTCGAACTTCATGCTTAAGAGGAACATAATGTAGGTTACTGGGTCGGTGTGGACACCATGGATTTCCGCACCATAGTTTATAATGTCAGGTGGTACCCATCATGGCGAGTGTCATCGCTAGGCCACCCAGGCCGCGTTGTATGGCGGCTGCTTGGGTTTGTGACGTCATGCGTCCGCTTGTGACGTTAAGCCACGCGTTGACCTCGTAAACGTATTCGCGGAAAAGGTACGTTGCCGTGAGGGTCCCAGTATGGGCCATGTGTTTGCCCATCTGTGTTGTTGTCTCCTCGGCGCATGTGTCCGATTGCTGCCCCCAGCGCAAACCATATGATGGCGAAGATAACCAACCCAAGGCTGTGAAGATATGGGTGGTTATCAGGCGCGTTGCCGCGCTGGGGTAGGGCTTGTAACGCCTTGTCAAGTCTACGAGGCGCTTTATCTTGCGGGTCTCCCCGCCTCTGCTTCAAGTACTGCGCTTTTGGTTCGTTGCCGAGCGGTTGGTAGTAGCGTAGTGATGAAGCGTATATGGTACCAATGTTGTTGTCTAGACAACGTACCTCTCGTTTTGCTTCTTGCTCTTGAATGATCCTCGTAAATGTAGTTGGAGTGGTGGCGCAGGGTGGTAGTTGGTCACGAAGATCGTGCCGGATAGCGTGAGGATAAGAAGAGCAAGAGCTGACCACACGAGAGTGCGGCCAGCTCCGCTACCAAGTCTGAAATGACTCTGGCAGGTCATATAGCATCCAATTCCATGTCGAAGGAATACGATATGGGGAGTGGATGGATAGGATAGGATCAGATCGATGTAATGATCTTTCCAGCACATAGCGAACACTAATGTAAGTGTTCGGGCAGATAGGGCGCGCGTGCCTTGAGCCAAAGGCAACGGCGCGCAGGCTATACTCCCGATCCTCTATAACATCTCCCAAAGAGCTACCCTTAAAGTGATGACACACTCGGCGACGAGCCGTGTGGAAGCTGTTTGGTGCACCCTCTGTGGTGCAGGCCAAGCGGCGCAGCCTGCGTGGTGCAGGCTATGTGGCGCAGTCCACGCGCGTGCCCACGCGGCGCCCCAGGGCGGGCACCGGGCGACTCCTCGGCATACCCAACAACGCGGGGCGCCCACGAGGCGCCCATGGGCGCCGCAGGGCAGGCACCAGCCGAAAGCTCGGCATACCCGGCCGACCCCTTCAGCAAGCCGAGTCGCCCGTAATTTCAAGCACGGTTCGTAGAGGCCTCCTGGAGGGGGTCGGAGTAGATTTAGGTCGGGCCCGTCCCCCTACAGAGGGATTGTGGATGAAAAATCAAGAATAATCTAAGAATGCTCAAAGCATGCTCCAACATACTCAAAAAATCGTCCCAAGACTGAAATTCTACTATTTCTAAATATTCCCCCTGTAGAGGGACATGCCCGACTTCAAGAGTAGATGGGGTCGGAGAATCGCGCCGTATCGCCGATACATCGGCGATGCATCGGTGCCATCTGCGATGCATCGGCGACGCCGGCGTGGAGAAAATCGGGCTCCACATCGAGCCGCATCGCCGATGCATCGCCGATGCGGCGCGATCCTCAGACCCCATGTGCTCGGACCCCATCTATGACTACCTACCAGACCACCCCAACCCAACCCGAAGACCCGCATTTCGGGTTGGGGGGGGGTAAGGGTTCCACATGTGTTTTGTTCGATGTTCCCCGCCCCCCCACACTGGACATCGAGGGTAAATCTGAGCCTTCGGGTTGGGTTGGGGTGGTTTGGTGGGTGGTGAATCTAGCAAGCCAAGTAACCCGTTAGTGCAAGCATTGTTCGGGGAGCAGGTCTCGAGAAGACCTTGTCTGGCTGGCTCGAGGACGTGTCCGAGGAGGCCCTCGCCTCCACCCTGCCAAAGGCCCCCAATCTCCTGCCGGGATCGAGGGCACGTGGAGACGATCTGGCTGCGCCCTTCTCCCCGCCTGCTTCTGTCAGTGCATGCCCCCAAGGGTGTCCCAAAACCGTGTGGTGACAGACCCGGCGGTGACCTCGAAATCCGCAAAGACCTCACCGCACGGTCCGTCGCCACACGGTTCTGGGACCCTGGAGGCTCCAGCCGCCCGAGACGTCCTCGGAGAACGATCCGAATCCCAAAACCGTGCGGTGACCCCGAATCCTTACCGACTCACCACACGGTGTGGTCACCACCCCGTATGGGAGACGCTTCCCCAGCCCCGAACCGTCCTCCCGGAATTCGAGCTTGCCCCCCGGGCCCCGCCACGCTCTCCAAGCCTGACGTCCGGAACGCTCGGCGGGGCCGCGCGGCGCGGCCCGAGGAGCGAGGCGCCCTCGCGCGCGAGGCGCCTCAGAGCACAGAGCGCCCTCAGCACGGGCTGCCACGAGCCGTCCTGCGGACAGGGGGCAGTCTCCGGGCCAGCAGCGCGGGTCAACCGAGATGAGAGCCCGCCCACCAAGTCCAGTGGACCAACATCCACCAGATCCGCCAGATCCAGGGCCATTTCCACCACATCCAAAGAGACGGTCAAAGAGAACCAGTCCGCCAGACCGAACCAGCTACTTGAATCAACCAGACTGGGAGCCAAAACAAATGATACCGGAGAAAAAACCCGATCATAATCTTTTTAGGGCTGTAGGGCTACATGGGCTATTGGGCTCTTGGGCTATAGAGCTATCGGGCTATCGGGCTATAGTGCTATAGTGCTATAGGGCTATAGGGCTATGTGGCTATGTGGCTATATAGGGCTATAGGGCGATAGAGCACCAGGGCACCCGGGCACCCCAGGGCACTCCGGGCCCCCCAGGGCAACTCCGGGCACCCCAGGGCACCTCCGGGCACCCCTGGGCACCTCCGTGCACCTCCGGGCACCTCGGGGCACCCCTGGGCAACCGGGCACCCAGGCCCGCCGCCGAAATCGGCGGCAAACCTCACCTAACCATATGAATCCGCTAGGACCCCTACAGAGGCAAGCTCTGATTGGGGAATTCTACCAATCACAAGCGAATGGGAGCCATCCCGCCAGATGAATCCTCTGAGGGTCCTGCAAACTGATATTGAACACCACTAAGACATCCCAATGTCGGAACTAGCGTAAGCCCTCCTGCACCAGAACTCATGAATCCAGCCTTGGAACCGCCTCTTCGGTTCAAGGCAGCTTCCTGAATCGAATGATCGGGCCTCGACGATCTCTTAGCATGGAGTCCACGGCGCAGCCCCCTCTCGATGGAACTTCGGGTCATAGAAACTGAAGTTTTGAGCAAGATCATTGTTTGAAGACGCAACTGCCTCAATCCTTGCGATGGCATGCTTGAAACGAGTGCGCGCGGAGCGAAGGCGAGAGCAGCAGCTTGAAAACCATTGGCCCTCCACCCATGTACTGTTGGAGCTTACTAGCTTCAGGATGAGGGGTTGCAGAGAAACATCAGGTGACCCCTCCCGACTGGACTCCTCCTCCTCCTCCTCCTCCTCCTCCTCCTCCTCTGCGGACAAGAGGCGACAGGAGGCCCCCCCCTCGAGCAGCAGGCGTCCCCCGAGCACCAGGGACACCCTCCGCCGGCCCATCTCGGGAGCCTTGGAGGGTGCCCTCCCCCAGGATGCGCAGGAACACCAACGAGCACGCGAAGAGCACTGGGGTACCCCCCTGAGCCGACCTCGCTCTCACACCTCGGCCCGACCGTAACACCTCTGCCCGCGCACGCCGATCCCGAGTGCGTGCCCTGGAGACGCGCCCGCCCTCCCTCCGCGCAGCCGTGGCGCGTGTCCAACTGCCAACGTCGCCGCGCTTGGGGCTTGGCCTTCCCCGCTCGCCTCCTCCTCCTCCTCCTCCTCCTCCTCCTCCCTTCTGCTCGGCGTTCGCCTCGTCTGCCGCCCTCCTCCTCCCTCCTTCCCTCCCTCTCCTCTCCTTCCCTCTCTCTCCCTCTCCCTCTGAGTAAAACAGGGCTAGGATCGGGATAAATCGCTCCAGAGCGTTCCGGAGCGCTCTCAGAGCGTTCCAGAGCGCTCTGGAGCGGCCGCGGCGCCCCACATCCTCCAAACCCGCCGATTCTCAGAGATTTCGAATTCTCCCGATCCGATTTTGTCCCGATCTTCGCGTCGTTTTAAGCCTCTCCCTCTCTTTTCTTTCCAGCCGCCTGGCCCGCGGGGGCCGCGGGAGGTCTCTTTCGCAGCCGGAGGGGGAGGTGGGAGGGGGGGGGGGGGGCAAAGAAGGGGCAGGAGCAGGAGGTAGGGGGGCGGAAGAGAAGAAGGGCGCAGCCGCGCTCTACGCAAGAAGCTCTCACGCGAACGAGGTCCTCCACGACGTAACCGCTGGGGGTCCGCTCGGCTTGGCCGTGGACGGTGCGCAGTGCCAGTAAATCAAAAGCCCCCGCAGGCTGCCGGAGGCTCGTGCCGGGGGGGCCCCCGGGGCAGCGGGGCAGAGATCCCTCGAGAGCAGGAGGCCCTCCGACGGTCGAGCTCTCGAGAACGCTCGAGGGTGCCCATCCTCCAGGGTTCAGTCGGGCCTGTCCCCCTACAGGGGGATTTTCGAGGACAAATCAAAAATACCCCAACCATGCCCCAAACATGCCACAAATCAAAACTACCCCAAAAATGCACCAACAAGGCAAACAAATACTAAAAAAAATGATCCCCAGAGTATTGTCGGACTATTTTTGGAGGTATTTCTGGCGTATGTTTTATGTTTCGTCGAAAATCCCCCTGTAGGGGGACAGGCCCCACTTTAAACCCAGGGCGCGCGAGAGCATCAAGAGAACCCGAAGGGCATCAGGGCACCCCTCTCCCCGAGCCGACCTCGATCTCGCACCTCGGTACGGCCGCAACACGACTGCGTGCGGCTCTGATGCCGTGGCTCCCTCCTCCTCCTCCTCCTCCTCCTCCTCCTCCTCCTCCTCCTCCTCCTCCTCCTCCTCCTCCCCCTCCACAATTACTCAATCTGAAAATACTCTCCCTCTTCCCCTGATGGCGGTTGGGTGATCGCCGAACACCCTCCGCGTACTGTTTTTTTACACACAGAATTCCCGGGAAACGGGTTTTCGCCTGCGTGTTTTTTCAAAATGCTGCTCTCGCTGAGGCGCCGGCCTCAGCGTGGGCCTCATTCTCCGTCGTTCAGGATGGCGTTCTGTCCCCAGCGCGGGCCTCTTTCTCGCGCGCCCATCCGCCCGCCACCACCGCGCCGCACCACCACCACCACCACCACCACCACCTCCAGCACCAGCACCAGCACCAGCACCAGCACCAGCACCAGCACCAGCACCAGCACCAGCACCAGCACCAGCACCAGCACCAGCACCAGCAACACCACGACCACAACCACGCACACACGCACGCAAGCACGCACGCGCACCACCACCCACTACGCACGCGCGCGCGGAGCCACAGGTCCGCTACGACACGCGTCCGCGGATAGAGAAAATCAGCGCCATGGTAAGGGATGGGAGGGAGGGGTAGGACGTCAGATATGACGCGAGCGCACCTACCTTGTCCTCATCCCCCTCCTCCTCCTCCTCCTCCTCCTCCTCCCCCTCCTCCTCCTTCTCCTCCTCCATCTCAGGGAGGCTCTGTCCTCCAGTCTCGTGGCAGTTGCAGACGCTTGAGCCGAGCGTGCGCGTCCAGGAGGCGAGAGCCACAGGTTGAAGACCACCGCCTCCATCCCTCGAAGTACTGCAAGCTTTTCCAGCGGACACGCGTCGGGCTACGAGCACCACGTGTTTAGTTTCCCGACTCGTTCGTGTCACTGGAGCGAGCTGGTCAGACGACGGTGCGCAGTAGTGAAGGGGCAATCACGCTCTGGAACCTCGGCATCCATCGACACGAATGCTGCGCTGCCTCAAGACACGACGTGGGCGGCGCCAAGGACGAGAACCGCCTCTTGAACACCGCCCCCCCTCGCCGCCCAAATAGCCGACGCAGACTTTCCCAACGAATGCGCTACTCCAGATTTCGTAATAAAGGGAGGGGGGTCTCATTCCGGATGGGGGTCTCTTCCAGGCTATCTTGGAGGGCCTGGGGGGTCTGGGGACGATGTTTTGGAGGGCTCTCCCACGGGGGAGGTCTGAAATGGTTTGTCTTGGAGGGTCCAGACCCCCTCCCCTTTACTACGAAAGCTGGAGTAACCGACGCAGACTTTCCCAACGACTGCGCCAGGCACCGAGGCGACGACCGCGGTCGCCACTGCGGCGTCCGTCCGTGCTGCTGCTGCGCGCTTAAACGAAAGGAGCGCGCGCGCCAGGGGCGAGCCGGCACGCTCGGCCCTGCGCTGCCCGGCGGAAGCTCCTCGAGTGATCTGTGCTTCCTGGCGGGATCTCTGGCGCCGCGAAGAGTGCCGACCTGTGAGCCCGCACGGTTGGGCGTGACTTAATGGGGGGGGTCACAGGTGGGGGGGTCAGAAAAGGTCCCCTTTCGTGCCCCTTTCGGGCCCCCTCCAGAGCCCCAGGGGGCTGGTTCAGGTACCGTTTGAGCACCTTTTCGGACCACGCTCGCCACCCCCCCATTTATGACCCCCCCATTACGCGGCGCCCAAACACGGTCGGAATGAGCTTCCCGCCGGCTGGCAACGCTGGTGATTCGATGCGCGTTTCCCCGCGAACCCGCACGGTTGGGGTGCGCGCCCCAGCAACAAAGCGCAGCTCGCTCGAACAACCCACGTCCTCCTCACGTCCCTCATCCCTTCCCGTGGGTTCTGTCATTTGCCTCCTTGTTTCTCGTCCTAAAACTGATACGTGTTATACTCCTCCTCCTCGTCTTCCTCCTCCTCCTCCTCGTCCTCCTCCTCCACCTCCTCCGCCTTCTTCTCGTCCTACTCCACGTCCTCCTCCTCCTCTGCCTCCTCCTCTTCCTCCTCTCCCTCCTCTCGTTCTCACTGTTCCTCCTCATCCTCCCCCGCCGCGTCCTTCTACCTCTGCAAGGGCGGTGCAGCGACGGCGAGGGGGTAGAGGAAAAGGAGGAGAGCGCGGAAGGGACGGAGCGCAACAGCGGACAAGACAGAGACCCCGTGGAGGAGGCTTCTGGTGGACCAGCCTCTTCTTCGTCCTCGTCCTCATCCCCTCCTCCTACCCCCCCACCGCGTCATCGTCCCCCTCGTCGTCGTCCTCCTCGTCGCCGTCCTCCTCCTGCCCCCCCTCCTCGTCCTCTCGCCCTCGTGCCCCCCCCCTCCTCGCAGTCCCCCCCGCCGCCGTCGGGGCGCGCCCCTCGTGATCCCACAGGGCTCGCGGCTCGAAGAGGACGCGCAGAACGCCGCGCCCTCCCTCGCGGCCCGCCTCCCACGAACGCCTGCAGCAACCAAAGGGGTCCAGGGAGACACCAACAACGGGACGCCAAAAACCAGAGGATTCTCACAGGTGTGCAATCTGCTCTGGACTCTCGCTTTTCTCATGCACCCCCCCATGTTTCCCA